TTCGCTTGAGCATGGAGTCCAGTACCTAGTGAGATATTCCCGTTGGAGATAATTAGAGCATCCCCACCAGTGATACTGAGGTGGAGTTTGCAAGCTGTTTTTTTTTTTTTTTTTCTTTTATTTTTATTTTTTCGTTTACTTTTTCAAAAAAAAAAGAAAAAAAAAATTGGCGAACCACAGCCCGCCACGTGGCGAACTCGTGACGAACCGGGTTCACCACGACGAACCCACGCACGCCGAGTTCGTCACTGTTTCCCTCGGTAAACGTGTGAACCCCTCCTTAAATCCCCTAATGGGGGTGCTCTAAGGTCAGGTGCGCAGATCTAGTAGTATCACGGTGTCGGTGAACATGATCTTCACGTTTATAATCGCTCAGATATTCTTGACAATGCCTTGTCATCTGACGTTTAAGTTGTTCCTTTTATTCACCTTCTTCGTAGTGGTGATGTCGATTTTCGTCTAAAATTTTCTTACCGGAGACGAAAGGGATTCCAATAGACTAGATGGGACAAGTGTGGAGGTCACATTGGTATTGGTCAAGGTTTGTTGAGGATGGTGAATATGGGAATGGACTTGAGATGGGCAAGAGCAGCAGCAACCAAGGAACTAAACATGTTTAGTTTGTTTTTATATGAGTAAGTTTTAAGAAAAGAATGATTTGTAATTTCTAATTTCGGTAAAGAAAAAAATGTATTCATATCTTTCTTTATTTGTTGTTAAATTTATAACCTAAAGAAACCCTTTAAGCTTGGCGAGTGAATACATCATCTATCTTTATAGATGGTTTAAGTCTCATAAATGTAATCATGTACAAGTACTGCATTTGATATTACATGTTCCAAAATACGAAATCAAAATATGTAAATAAAAAATCATCTTATCTCTTAAAGGAAAAATCTTTTAAGCTTTTGCTAGTCCGTATAGGAGGTAGTTCCATGGGCGCAAGAACAGGTGTCTTTTCCGAGCTTTCATGTGCAAGTGAATGATGTGTGGAAGGTCCAGCTTCTTGGTGTTGAGACTCAGGATCCCAAAACTGGTGGTGGTCATGATGATCAGAGTATCTAGGAGAATTAGAACTCTGGAAAGTCTCAACGCTTCGGTTATTAAGCTTATGTAGTGGAGATGAGCCACGAGTTGGTGTAGTTGGACGGCTAGTGTAAGGTGTGTTTGATTCAGTGTGTCTTCCGTGTTTTGTGTGCTTCTTTGCCGTGTGATGCCATGTCTTTAACGCTGTGGCTACTCTTTCGTTGAACACCGTTGGCTTCATATTTGTACCCATCTACACACATTTATTCGTCAGTAAAAGAAAAAAACTAAGATGATATCAAAAATCTATTGCATTGCAAATTTTGTTGTGTAGTACCTGAGTGACAAGGGCATAGAGTGGAAGAGTCACATAGCTGCAAAGTATCTGTACAACAACTCTGCATGTTGGTGATTTTGTCAGTTAAAAGTCGTTTTTTTCCCCACGTATACAACAGTCTAAGTTAATGGTAGCTTACCCAAGTACAATTCTAATAACCACATCTGCGGTGCTTTCGTAGAAACAATTCCTGAGATTGAATTCATACTGCACATACCAAAAGTTCATTGCATAACCATTAGTATAGATCCATAATAGGGATGTTTCTGTGAAGAAAGTAAACTGGATCACTTACCGTACTCCAGGCAAAGAAGGCAAGTTGAAATGCATTCTGCAAAGTGAAGGGTTTTTAGACGTACTGACTGAAAGAGTACATACCGAGCGGTTAAGGATATTGAATCGTACCGTGAAAAGAACCAAGTGGATAAGGAAAAGGATGAACCGAGGGCGGCCAAACCAGAAGAGATCATCACCAGGCTGAACCACAGGGGCACCTCTCACCACATCACCTTTCTCTTGGATTCTTAGACCCAATTTGGTTATAATCACTTGAAGTTTTGTTCCAACTATCAGAATCACCTGCAAGAATTACATTTATTCAGTTTAAACCAAAAGGACAAAACAAATAAATATTTAGCTTTTTTTATTTGTACTTACAACTAGTGGAATGAATGGTAACCAGAGGTAAGAACGTAGTCCTGTTTCAAATGAAAACCAGTGTCAGTTTTGTGAGAATATTGATGCATATAGATATTGTGTGTTACCATTTGCGTTGCTCAAGAGGTATAGCACAGCAACAAACCAGATAACAGGACTGCATAGCGTTAACAAAGATGTCAGACAAATCTTCCAAGTTGAATTTTTCTCAGATTAAAAAAAGTCATTAAGTAGTTTCCAAACCTGATTTCGACAACAGTTTTGAAGTCTTCTTCTAATGATCTCTGAATATACTTTCGGAAATCGAATGTTCTTTCGCTCCCAGGAGCCAAATGCGCCTGAAAAAAAGAATAGGCTAGATCGTTTGTTATAATACTTAGAGGACTGGTTAGTGATGGTTGTATGTACGTAAACATTGTACACGTTGGCTCTATCATGTTTGATAATGCTTGTTATACTAAACATTAGATAAAACAAAAATAAAAGATAACACTATATACGTTCCCTACCGTGATGAAACCATGCCGCAAAGCTAAGTAGTCAACTTTGGTGACAGATCCAAAGAACTGTCTGAAAAAACACACAGCCCATAGCGTAACACTCGTCTTGCTCCAGAAATTGAGATGTCTTCTCCCAAAAGATGTGTCCCTCGCAAACCTGAACCTCTCAGGATCTACACAACAACAATGCATGCACCATAAAAAAAATTCCTATTGCCGGTTTTTTAAATCTTATCAAATATTCTGATTTAATAATAGTTACTAATATACCGTTGGAATAATGATATTCTATGGTCTTGGTCTCATTCTCCCACTGCTTCCATATCCTCATCTAGAAAACCAAAACCAAATCTTGTTTCATACAAGTCTTTCTTGATTCTCAAGCCACTCTCCAAGATCCACATGAAAAAAAGTTACCTTGGTCTTTCCGAGAGCATAAGTAACAATGCAGTGGGTAACATGAACCACCGCGAGCATGAAGATGAATATATGGAGCTGGTGGATACCATAAGCAGATACAAAAGCCACTTTCCCCTGAGATAATCCATCAATCATATTTAGAGGATGATTAACAAGCAGAGAGTTCTTTTTATATTATATAGATAAATATATGGGAGATTCTTAGTAACCTTGTCAGCGCATTTGTCATAACCTTTGGTGGCTAAACTTCGTCTAGGGATGTAAGACTCAGCTAACTCAAAAAGAAGTCTTCTATGACCGGAGGATTCTTCATCATCGTCTTTTGGTTTAGAGGTAGCTTTCTTGCCGTATTTGCTAGCTTCATCAACGGCGCTGCAAGGGTGCATTGTTGATGCAATGCTTTGGGAGATGCATATATTTGAGATTGGTGTTTGTCCGATTGTTAAGAGTAGTGATATGAATCCCATTATCATAAGCTCTGAATTACCAAACAAGCACAATTGTTTTAAAATAAGAAGCTTGTAAATGAATGAAGTTAAGTATTAAACTATTCTCTACCTGCTTTAACTTTTTCAAGAGCTTCATAAAGAGCCTTCTTGTGCTTCTGTTTAAACCACTGAAAAAAACAAGAACAGATTTAGTCATAAGAGAAGAAGAATTATAAAACAGAGCAGGAACAGAGTTACAACTAAGGCCAAAACAGAGTAAGAAGCAGAACAAGAAAAACCAAACAGGGTACAAAGAGATAAGCACAGCACAAAATGAGCAAGAAAAAAAAATATTAAAAACCAAATTATGTTGAAACAAGAAAAATAAAGAAAAAGAAAGGTAAACAAAAGAAGAAACAGAACACCAAACAGAGGAATCTTGAAATAATACTGAAGAAGATGAGGAAAGAAAGGAGAATCAAAGAGACTTACGCTTCCAATTTTGTGAAGGGAATGTTCAAGAACAATCGAAATGAATAGCAAGACGAAGCAAACTACAGCGACTGCCCACGTAGAGGTCTGTTCTAACGTCCTCTCTTTTACTTGATTAGCCATTAGAGCTTAAAAATTTCGAGAGAGAGAGAGAGAGTTTCGTGTTCTTCTTTTATGTTTAGCTCACAGTTTTTTTTTAATTAATAGGCTACTCAAGTTTTACAAAGCCAAGGTTATGTCATATAGTAATATAGGGAGGCAGACGTAGATGAAGATAAGACCTGCAATGAGAGACTGTTAAACTAATGGCTTTATTCGTCTGTCTTTGTAGAATGGTGCTTTCAACTTTCTACTATTGCTTAAACAATAATTAAAAAAAAAACATTCTACTATTGTTCCTCTCATGTGCAGACTTTCTCAATTATTCACCTTGTTCGTTTGTGCTTTTTGGACCGCGTTTTTCTTATTTATCATGATTCATAGGGCCTTCTTTGTCAAATCATGTTTTTCTTTTCATTTCTTTTCATATCTTTCTGATTTTGGTTGGTAAATTTTTTCATTGGATTGCTTGTACGTTAAAACTAGAGAATGAAAAGGAGCCTATAGAAAGTAATTAAATTCAAATTTTGATTCCTTTTAGTCGTTTAGTTTTGGTCTTTGTTGGTGTGGAGTAAATGATAATGGAATGGAACCCTACTAAAGCTTGGCCACTTGAGTTTTATATAAACATAGATAACATTTCCATAATGGAAGCTCGTTGGAAAGCTCTTTTTACCTATTCTTCAACCTTTTTCTTCTTCAAATTTTTATATAATAATCTAAGTAAGTGATAATATACTTGTTAATTAGACGGCAAAAAAGAAATTAGATACTCGATGAAACAAATCATAATTTAGTATTACCCCAATAGCGTATCGATTTCGACCAGCTAATGCTGGGCTAGTGGTGAGAATTAGGTTTTCACAATTACTATATATCACTAAAATGTTCTTGTTAAGTCACATGTCAAATTAATTTTCAAAAAAAGTCACATGTCAATTACCACGTACAATATACTTTTTTTTAAAAATAAAAAAATCTAGAATTACTATTGTACACTAATCTGTCTTCATGGACCGGATCCAACGAGTTTAAACTTTTAAGTATCGATCAAAGCTTAAAAACCGGGAAATTATCAAAACTCGAATCAAACCGAACCAAACCAAAAAATCGATCGGTCGTCACGCACATTTACCCTCCAAACTGCATCTCTTTGTATCGTCTCTCTCTCTCTGGCGATTATTATCCAGATTTTGCTGCAATCATAAACCTTCAATCTCCGAGAAGAAATGGATCCGATTGCTTCTGTTGTGGAGAAAGTGAAAAGCTTTGCGAAATCGAGCCAAGACTTAGTCTCCCGCCACTTCTCCTTCCACGACAACCCTTCCCGCCAGAATCCGGTACCTTTCACCCGTCTCCTTGTTTCTTCGACCTCTTGATTCAAATGGGTACACGAAAGTATATTCCTTTATTCACAAATTGGGAAAACTATGTATAATCAGATTGATATCTTGAAGCGGTTGCAAAGAGATGCATTCTCTGATCTGATGAAGCTTAGAGACAGACAAGACAAAGTTGAGAAGATACTTTCCTCATATAAAAGAGGTCCCTTTCAAGAGACTAGTAGCACTCATGTGAAGGGTGAAGTTCATGCCCTTGGAGCAATGTTGCTGATGGGAAACACTGAGGAGGAGAGTTTCATTGGACTAGACAGACAAGGAGTGAGACCTGGATTGCTTTCAAGGTTTATGTTCGAGACGAGCCTTAGGGAGACGGATAAGCTTGTGGCTGAGCTCGTTGCTGGATACAAAGGGGAAGGAGATGGTGTTGTTTCAGGGAAACAGCTTTCCTTAGCTAAGGTCTTTTACAAGGCAGAGGTTAATGATTGGTTCTCTGCTGTTGCTATTCCCGTTGGCGCGCGTTTCAGAGACATTGATGATGCTCTTGTGTCTTCTTACCTGGTATCCACTTGTTGTTCTTGCTGTCTCTCTGAACCATTTGTCTTACAACTACATTTGTGTTTGCAGGGGATGAATCTTACGGAAGTTTCTGAACTTGGACCACCTCTTTTGAACCAACATAGTGGTAGTGCCATAGGATTAACAGTCAGAAAGTCAAACGTGGCAGCTTCACTTGCCCAATCCATCACAAACCTTGAAGTTGAACAAGGTTTGAATGCGAGGAGTCGTTGTCTGAGAACTTTTGGGCAAGTAACCTGCCACATTCTGAGTGGTGTGAAACTATCTCTACTGGGATGTCACCAGATTTTGTCACCTTCTAACAGCCTCCATTACCCTGCTGGAGCCATTACACTTCCAGTAAGTTTCCTAAGACGTCGTATTGATACAGATCCTGAATCATCAGCACCGATTCCGGAGATGAGCAGAAGAAGCATGGGTCATGTGTCGTCTAGTTCCATTGCTTTGAGGTTAGACTCTCTAATGGACGAGTGTACGAGAATTGGGGGATGGGCTGAGATTCAGAAGTCAAGAGAGAAGCAAGTGAAATGGTCAGTGTCTATTACAGACAAACCAGAGGATGAAGTGGGGTGGGGCATGAGCGTTGGGGGAGTCGTGGATGGTTCAAGAAATCATGATCAGTTTCATGTGGAATCTCATCTCAAATTCAACGTAGACAATCGGTTTATCTTAAGTCCTGGTCTTGTTTATCTCGCTAATAGTAACGGAAGAACCGTAGGTTTCATGCTTCAGTCTCATTGGTCTCTGTGATTCTTAATGCTAGTCTCAAGTTGACTAGTAACATGTAAGTCCTTATCATATTAAGAGCTTTGATGACCAATCACTTCTCATTAACATACAAACTTTATAGCTTTGTTCTGTTGAAGTCAAGTCAACCCCCTTCTTCTTAGGACTCATTTAATGAAACAGTCTCTCTCCTATGATGACCGCCATGGCAAGGAATATGAGTAACAGTTCTATCTGGATTTATTGTTGTTAGGAAATTTCAGATGAGTATGAGTATAACTCAAGAATGACCTTATACGTATGAAGTCTCTTAATTTTCTTACAATACGACACCTTCATTTGCCGGTCCACAACTACTCCTATTCCTTATCTACGTAGAAATTTCACAGTTTCTTTCACATTTTCCTCGAAAGATCTCGTTACCAGAGTACGAAAAAGGTTAAAAAGCGTGTTGTTTTTGAATATAATCAAGTTGTGAAATGTCTACTCAAAAGTTAAAAGTTAAAACAATGGTCCCCAGTGAGATTGGCACTAACACAAGTAGTCCTCCCTCTCGCTTTCTTTCTTTTCTTAGTCCCAACACTGCCATCAGAAGAAAAGTCAATACTGGTGGTTTATTCCACTCTCATTGCTCATTCGGCTATTCAATGAAAGCCACCAAACACATTTCTAAACCACAGAACAAATCTTCGTTGAAAGAAAAACTACAAATCGTCTTCTTAGTCTTCTAAGTCTTCTTATATACAGACAAATACGACTACTTTATTACTCTATACTTCTTGATTTTCAAAAGACAACACACATCAAAGCAAAAACACTCGCACTATTCTGTTTCAAACTAGTCATGGTGGTTCTACTGAACACACGCCGTCGCTTTCTTCTTCTACTTGCAACACTCTCTTTCTGTTTGGGGGAAGACAGAATCACTTTCACGACTCCGATCAAAGACTCAAACTCAGAGACACTCCTCTGCAAAAGCGGTGTGTTCAGGTTCGGTTTCTTCACTCCTGTAAACTCCACTACTAAGCTACGTTACGTTGGGATTTGGTACGACAAGATGCCAATTCAAACCGTGGTTTGGGTCGCCAACAAAGACACTCCCATCAACGACACTTCCGGTGTTGTCTCCATCTCTTCCAACGGAAACCTCGTAATCACCGATGCTCGAAACCGTCCTCTATGGTCTACCAACGTCACAGTACCAGTAGCTCCAAACGCCACTTGGGTTCTGCTGATGGATACCGGGAACCTTGCGTTACAAGACAGCAGAAACAACGGTGAGACTCTCTGGGAGAGTTTCAAGCATCCTTACAACTCTTTCTTACCGAAAATGACCCTTGGAACCAACAACAGAACCGGAGAGAATCTTAAACTTACTTCTTGGAAAAGCTATGAAGATCCTTCGACGGGGAACTACACAGCTGGTCTTGCTACTTACACGTTTCCTGAGCTTCTTATCTGGAAGAACAATGTTCCTATCTGGCGTAGCGGACCCTGGAACGGTCAGGTTTTTATAGGTTTACCTGATGTGGAGTCTCTTCTGTTTCTTGATGGGTTTAATCTCAACAATGATAACCAAGGAACCGTTTCAATGTCATATGCTAATGACTCTTTCATGTATCACTTTAACTTGGATCCTGATGGAGCTATCTATCAGAGAGATTGGAATACTTCTATGAAAGATTGGAGGATCGGTGTTAGGTTTCCATCCACGGATTGTGACGCATACGGTAGATGTGGTCCTTACGGGAGTTGCAATTCTCGGGAAGATCCTCCTTGTAAATGCCTTAAAGGGTTTGTGCCGAGGAACAACACTGAGTGGAATGCTAGGAACTGGAGTAAAGGGTGTGTGAGAAGAGCTCCTTTGAAGTGTGAGAGGCAGAGCAATACAAGTAATGGTGGAAAAGGAGATGGGTTTATGAAACTGCAGAAGATGAAAGTGCCAATCAATGCGATACAGTCTCTAGCTAATGAGCAAGATTGTCCACAGCAATGTACAGATAACTGTTCTTGCACGGCTTATGCTTATGATAGAGGAATCGGATGCATGCTTTGGAGTGGTAGCTTGGTTGATTTGCAATCATTTGTGGGAAGTGGTATTGAACTTAATATCCGACTTGCTCATTCTGAACTCAGTGAGTGAAAAAATCTCTACTAGTCTCACTTGTTTTCTTCTTCTACAGTCAGTTTGACTTTTGTTTGCTCACCAAATCTTGTAGAAACACATAGCAATCTAGCAATTATGATCGCTGCACCAGTGCTAGGCGTTGCGTTAGTTGCTTCCATCTGCGTTCTTTTAGCATGCCGGAGATTTAAAAAACGTCCAGGTTATAGAGGCTTCTATAGCTCATTGATGATGTTATACTGTTCTGATTGTTCCTTTTAGCCATAATTTTGTTTGCTATTTTTCTGAGCAGAACCAAAGAAAGATAGAAGTGCAGAGATAATGTTTAAGAGAATGGAAGAACTTACAAGTGGTAATGAGTCTGCTTCTAACCAAGTGAAGCTCAAGGAGCTTCCACTCTTTGAGTTTCAAGTGTTAGCCACAGCAACAGATAGCTTCTCTCTCAGAAACAAGCTCGGGCAAGGAGGGTTTGGTCCTGTTTACAAGGTGAAGGCATCAAGCAAGTATCCATTTTGAAAAGAGATGTGTATAATCTCAGAATAACTGATTGGTATTGTTTTTTTCTTCAGGGAAAATTGCCGGAAGGGCAAGAAATTGCGGTGAAGAGGCTCTCACGGGCATCAGGACAAGGACTTGAGGAACTTATGAATGAAGTGGTTGTGATCTCGAAGTTGCAACATAGGAATCTAGTGAAGTTACTTGGTTGTTGCATTGAAGGTGAAGAAAGGTTGTTAGTCTACGAGTATATGTCAAAGAAAAGCTTGGATGCCTATCTATTTGGTAAAATGTCTCCTCTGTTTTTAAACTCTGTTTTAACATGGGTTCATTGAAGAGAAAAGCTAATGATTTTGTTGGATTTTATCAGACCCATTGAAGCAAAAGATCCTTGACTGGAAGAAACGGTTAAACATAATGGAAGGAATATGCAGAGGTCTTTTGTATCTTCACAGAGATTCAAGACTAAAGATCATACACAGAGATCTAAAAGCCAGTAACATATTGTTAGATGACAATCTGAATCCCAAAATATCTGATTTTGGGCTTGCAAGAGTTTTCCGAGCAAATGAAGATGAAGCTAACACAAGAAGGGTTGTAGGAACATAGTGAGTATCCATTCCAAAAAATACAGAAACAAATATTTTGAAAATTTGGTTTTATCAATAACCATTTGTTATTGCAGCGGCTATATGTCACCAGAATATGCAATGGAAGGATTATTTTCAGAAAAGTCAGACGTTTTCAGCTTGGGAGTCATACTTTTAGAGATCATAAGTGGGAGAAGAAACTCTCACAAGGAAGAGAATAATCTAAACCTGTTGGCTTATGTAAGTGTGTACTTATAATCAGTGTTTAGTAACTTTCTATCCTTGAAAGTTGAAACTAACTAATAGTTTGGTCCTTTTACAGGCGTGGAAGCTGTGGAATGAGGGTGAGGCTGCTTCTCTAGCAGATCCAAACGTTTTTGATGAGTCTTTCGAAGAAGAGATAAAGAAATGTGTTCAGATTGGTCTGTTGTGTGTGCAAGAAGTTGCAAACGATAGACCAAATGTTTCAACCGTGATTTGGATGCTAACCACCGAAAACACAAACCTCAAAGATCCGAAGCAGCCTGCGATTATAGCTAGAAGAGGAGCTTCTGAAGCTGAGTCTTCTGACCAGAGTAGTCAAAAGGTCTCCATCAATGATGTGAGTCTCACAGCTGTAACAGGGCGCTAAGCTCACAAGGCTAATATGTCTATTTACATAATATTTAAGTTTAGAGAAACTCATATGCTTGCAAATAGTGTTATTCTGTGCATGTTTAATGGTTTGATTAAAGAATAAGAAATGTATCTCAAGGAAGTTAATGTTCAGATTCTCTAATTACAGATTTTGTATTATTACCTCAGTTATAAACACCTAAATTAGCTGTGTTGATAGTTACAATAGATTCTAGTGCTGAAACTTGACAGACTCTTAGATGAATTAATACGACTTAATGGAGAAACTGAACCCGATGGAAAGGGAGAAAAACAAAACCGAAACATGTTCTTGACTCTTAAGAGGACACAGTAGGTTTTGTTTGTCTTCTTCCTACTTTTCTATTTTTATATTGTTAGAGAAGTTATGTTCATATTCATCTAGTAAAGACTTTGTACTATTACCTCAGTTACCTAATGTGAAACTGAGCTGTGTTGGTAGTTAAAATAAATTCTAGTACTGAAACTTGACCTACTCTTAGATGAATTAACTAACCTTGATGGAGAAACTGAACCTGATGGAAAGGGAGAAAGAAAAAAAAACCGAAACATGTTCTTGACTGAGACGCCACAGTAGATTTTGTCTTGAAATGATTCTCCTTATCTTGCTTTTCTTCTTCTTCTTTTTCTTTTTCAAAACTTTTATTATTAACTGTGTGAAAAGCTCCAATAATGTTGCCTGCTTCATTGTCATTGGTCTATGTGATCTTAGTGCTAGTCTTTCAAGGCACATTCATGGTTCTATTTACCACTGATTGCATACTTATAGCAAAAATTCGGATGTGGTGGCAATCTTTTTATTTCCTTGATAAGTAATAACATAATGGTGGACCTGGGGGAATAATACAGTTAATAATAGTATATATGTACCCATTGCAACTTGACAGAGTTTATGCGAAGAAATTAAACACAAGTTCTTAAACATAATTATCATTACAATAGTTTGCATGTGACATAATTATCAAGTTGAGAGCGATGGTAATGTATGACATTTCACCACTCAATAACCGACAAAGTTGCTAGACTTACTATGTCCAAGTCACTGCCCATATGTCACTCTACGACAGAGAACAAATATTCTTTGAAAGAAAAACACATTATTACCTTTAGGTCTAGTCATTTTACCCGGACCAGAAGATCCGAACCGGAACCGACTCGAAAATATCCGACCCGAACCTGACCCAAAAATTTACAAATCTATATTTTTTTTAACACTGTATAATTATGCCATTACAAACTATGAGAAATTACAGCCGACAATTCTACCTGCCTTATGCGGATTCACGTCTGACTGCATCACCCTGAGCCGTCCTGTGAGATCCATTCCTGACGGTACGCCTTGCGCCATGCTAAAGATCTCTTAATTGTATACATATAAATTAGAGGTTGACTCAAAGCATATATAAAAGACAAATAAATAACCAATTGCAATTTAGTTCTTTTGTTGAATTTACATATATGTAAGATACTTCAAAATATTATCATTATATTCATTTATGTAATTTTGAATCAAACACTTCAGCTTATTATTTATTTCATTTTAAGCATAATATATATTAAGTTATACAAAATTTAACTATAATATATTTACATATCTAAGACAATAACCAACCGAAATGAAAATAAGAAAATTAATCAAAGTTTTATTACATTTAGAATAAAAAAT